CCGAGATCAATTGTTGCTTACGTGAGCGTTTAACTTTCAGTGGCGTCTGCGAAGTAATCTTCGTTGTTGACGGTGGCGAATCGGTCAACGTGTCGATCAATCGCTGTCGATCGTCCTCCGAGACCGAAACGCATGTTCGGTCGATCGTCGACTGCGGCGACATATACAACTCAAATGCATCTGCGTCTTCACTAAATGATGATTCTTCCTTTATCGAACATTCGCGCGAGTCTTGCTGGATACTTGAGTGATCATCTTGCAACTTGCCCGATTTTTTGTCGTTTGTTTCCAACAATTTCTCGCGAGAAATCTTCATATTCTGCAACGTCGCCTGAATGTCGTCAAACGTTAACTCCGATTCCGATTCATGATCGGCTTCTAAAAGAATGTATTGTACTGTTGAATGCTCGACCAATTCGTCTTCGAATTCAACGTTATCTTCACATCCATCTGATTGTTCGGCTAAAAAAATGCATTTCTCAGATCTTATACATTATTTTAAATACCTATTAAATACTAACTTATTATAAGTATCAATAGTATCATAGTAAAAGTTGATCTTATATAATCAAATTTAATTGTATAACATAAAATAATTTTTATAAAAAAATTTTACTTTATATTTTAAATAAAAATATAAATTTCTTATATATTATGTAAAGAGAACAAATATTATCTCCGTAAGTTATCATGTTATGCATTAATTGCTTATATTTGTATTTACTCAAATGATATTTATTAGATAAAATTAGAATTGTCACTTCAAATTACCGATAGCTTCATTATACATGAACAATACTTTCTTCAAGCAGATTGAAATTTTACAGAATAAATTATGTATAAAAAATTCAGAACAATTAATTTTATTACTTTTACATTGATGACGCCTGATTGCGACGATCATCACATACATTTCGTTTTATTAAAGAAACCTACTATCATTTTACATTCACATTTATATACATACCGATATTGACAAAACTGTCGTTCATCATGAGATACGTAATATCCGGTTGTTCGTCGACAACTGTGTGAACACTATCACTAGACTCTAAATTAATCTTGTCGCTACAGTTTTGGTAAGTTTCATAATTATGTACTATTCTGCTACCGTCCTCTTGCGCAATATTCTTTTCACTGTTGACTGATGCATCGCAGATAGAAGTCTTCTCGTTCGCTTCTTCCTTACGACAAAGCATCGGTGGTTTGGCAGTAAACACTCGTTTTTTCATCTGCGACGGTTTTTTCACCGTTCGAACGGCACCTTCGCCTATTAAACGTTCCACGTCTGATCTGTAATTACAGCCATAATTGTAGTCCTGGTAATCTACATATAAAACCAAGTAAAAAGATAAAGAGATTACAATTTAATCATCACCTAATTGAAATCATTTTTTTCTGTGTTGAAAAAATTTTTCAGTCTTAGATTAGTAGATGAAGAAGATTAGTAGATGAGCGATTTACCCCCAAAAAATCGCTTAAAAAGTGCACTAACCGATCAACGTTTTACTGGCTGAAAATAATTCGATTCCTCGACCAGTATGAATAAAAAACGAAAATATTCGTTCCAATCTTAAACTAAAACAAGAATTTTATTTTATTTTGATCTGTACTGTTACTGACAGTGAAAATTTTATTATATAAGGCCACAGATGCGGCTTCGTTTTTTGTTCATACTTATTGGATGACTAGTTTCTGAGAAAAAAAATTATAAAAGTAGTTATTTTTCAAGTTTAGACATTTTTTATTTCAAAAACTATTGATTTAAACAAAAAGTCTCACAGATAAAAAATATCCATTTTGATCCAATTAATCTTACAGAATTTTTTTCGGAATTTTTATTCAAAATTTAGATTTTTTAAACAAAAAATTTTTTATACCTATTCAACGACCACACAAAAAAATAAAGTGTATATAGATGTTTTTCCGTAGAATAATATGAGGAATCGAATTAAATCACTATTTTATCATTTTTAGTCACTAGAACATTGATTGATCGGTTAGTGAACTAAAAATGGAGGTAAACCGCTTGCCTACAGATTTTAAATACCAAAGTTTTTAACTGAAATTGGGTGAATTTATTTTTCTCATTGACTTACTTCATAAGAAACTGGAAGTTAGTCGGAGGTTCGTCGGACTCATTGTAAACGGCGACAGCAAATATCTCGTCTGAATCTTCCACGGCATAGAGAGCCAACTGTTGTCCCGCCGCAGTGACAAAAGTTGCAATCGTTTCCTCGTCATCTTCATCATCCTCAAACTCGTCTTCCTGTATAATGTATTTATATATATATGTAATAATTCTTACATAAATGTTAATTGAATAAAAACGTATGACATATTTCATATCATTGTAACATTTTTACCATTTGGTTGATTGACTTCTTAGCGACTTACAGGAGAATCTTTGGAACTATCCCTCGCCGATTTTTACGAACTTTGAGTATATTGTAGAACATCAAAAAACAGACCCATATTTTTTTATCTGCTTATCTAAAAGTTTAGAGGTTGAAACAATCCTAGAGAATGAGTAAATTTTGTATTTTTGAAAGAAGTGAATATATACATCGTTTTTTAGTGCGAGCGTGGTGTAGTAGGCAGCGCACAAGACTACTATGCCAAAGATTCCGGGTTCAAAACCCGGACAGAATCCCAGACAGAACCAAAAAATGTTTTCGAATGCTTGTAGCTCCTCTCGGAAGGTAATAGCAAACCACTGAGAGTATTCTTGCCAAAAGCACTTCTCTAATAAATCATCGTTCGAAATCAATATTAAACTGTAGATCCCATATGACTATGTATAACCAGTGTGCGCATCACAGGCATATGAGAGAAATCACCACGCTCAATAGGACTGAGGAGGAGAAGGATACATCGTTTTAATAATCTAAAGAAGTATAAAATACCAGAACTTTTGAATAAAAAAACTTTTATATAAAATACTTTTTCTTGTACCTAATAGCTTCAAAGATATTCTTTGAAAGTGAAAAAACCATTATTTTCGAAAGGTTGCTTCGCGATGTCTAAATCTTAAGGTAAACAGATAAAAATATATATATAATATTTTATGATGCTCTACATATCCAAAGCCCATCAAAATATAGATGAGGAATAATTTCGTCGGTTACCTTGATAGTATTTATTACTTAACAAGAATTAAAACCTAACTTGGCTGAAGTCCTTTAATTCTATTGTTTGTGTAAACACAATTTGCTGCTAAGTACAAGTATAATACTTATCGATTATTAAAAATAAGTATTCGATTTTTGAATGTGTACCTTTGAAATAGGTATCTCAACATTTTCACAATCCCACTTCTCGGTAATCGACGAATCGTCTGACAATGGAACAATATCTATGGATTCCTCAAACCTAGCAGGTATATCGTCGCATGTTTCTAGATCCTCTTCAAAGTACACAGTAGACCGAGTCTGACAATCAACTTTACCTGGCAAATGTCCATTAGCACTCACAATTATCTCCTCATTGACAGTCTATAAAAAATAGATAGGAATCTTATAAATACAGTGATATTGATTGACTTCAATTCAAAGGTTTATCTTTTATTGCTGCACTGGGCTACATTAAAACTTTTTGCTTTCACCAAACTTTACATATCTATTTTACTTTAAGTATATACCAGTTCAGTTATAAAAAAAAAACAGACATTAAGGCTATCTAATTCTTTACCAGACTTTCCCTGATATTTTCATGACCTAACGGAGATGCACGTTTTAGTTCATTCTCCATAAAATTAAACTTGGTGATTATTCCTTGGGACACCACTTCCCCACCATATGGCTCGCTGGTGATCGACATTCCCAAGGATAATTCAATTCGACTATTGTTGTTGAACAATCATGGTTGATATCTATAAAAATACACAAAGGTGAACAAGCGTGTTTATTAAAAGTATATTTAAATGTTTTAGTTAAATGTTAATATGTATATTGTATACACAACACACATAACACACGCGCGCGCGC